TTTTTTTTTTTTTTTTTTTTTGTGTGTGTGTGTGTGTGTGTGTGGCCCAATGGACTATAGATCAGATATTAAACTGATCAGAACAGAATCAACATATACTAACCTTGCTCTATTTTTAGCCAAAAAGCCGAGAAAGGCATACTCTCCACACCGTTTACCTTTTTTCTTTTGTCCTCTTTTTTGCAAGGCATAGGCCTCGGTAAGCCCTACTGGGCCCCTATTTGGCAACAGGTCGGCCGCCCTAAGTGAAGGCAGGTCCGACAGACGACAATAGGCCTTTTTTTTTTATTTTTTTATTTTTTTATTTGGACCATTTCTCGATTTATGCGTGTCATCCTTGCGCAGGGGCCATGCTAATCTTCTCTGTATCGTTCCAATTTTAACGGATGTCCCGAAGGACGAGACGACGATAGGCCTATTTTTGAGTACTTCGCAACTGGGGAAAATTCAGGCAGTTGCGCAGCGCCAGTTGGTTGAAGGCCCCCAGGCCCTGGCCTCCTTTACCAACTGTATCTAAGTCAGGCCCTGGGCGAGATACGCAGCCTAGGCCCAACTCAGACAGCGGGCAGTTGGGCCCGGGTAACTGTCGGTGGCCGTGGGCCTGATTCGTTTGGTCTGAGGCTCAGCCTCCCTGGGCGTACCGGAAGCTTCCGGGCAGGGACCCAGCGCAGCCAGGCTGCACGCAAGCAGTCTGGCCACTTCCATTTAGGAAAGGGCCAGCCCTTGCATTGGACATTCGGGCACTGGCTGCTTTGTGCGCAAGCGCTGCTGCGCTATCGCCTGCCAGGCTCACGTGCTCACGGGCGAGCTGGAAGGAGCAGGCAGCCATAGCTGAGCTGCTCTGCTGTATGCTGGATGGGGCGCATGGTGGTCCTTGGGTGCAAGTGGCATCTGTGAGTTGGGGAACGAGGTTGTGAGTGATACGAGAGACATACCTGGTGCTTGACGCGTGCGGCATTGGCCGAGGTCTGCTTGCACTTGGGAAGCTGTTGACGTCATCAGCGGCATTGTAGTCTAGGCTAGATAGGATCTGCCATTCGTAGTCTGGGCGCCGAGCGCCAGATAGGATATCAACATTGGTTCTTCGATTGATGATGATGAGACTATTCCAGCATTGTCAATTATGAGCTTTTGGTGCGCTCTTATTTGGTGAAACTCGTGATGCAATTCTGCTTTTGGTTCGAGGTCACGACTATCTGGTCTCATGTGTATGATGCTGTTTGATTGCTGAAGTTCGCTATTGCTCATCTTCCTTGCATTTTTGTAAGAAATTTCTGCGATCATCGGCGCGATGGTGATCCCCTCCTATTGGAAGGAAGTCCCGCACATGATGGTTCCTTTTCAAATTTGGAGTTCAGATGCAGCCCTTCGCAGTGGAAGATCAGCAAGTATCAATCAGCACGTACCCACTGTACAATAGTGGTCGTTTTCATTATCATTACCCTTTGCTCTGCGAGCGTTTTGCTCTGGTGTGTATGGTCTTTCTCTGCTGACGCATGCCTGTCATGATCTGAGGCAATGCAAAGCGCAAAGATAACCAAGATGAGGAAAAGACAAAATGTGCGACACAGTGGAAGACTCCAACCAGATAGGATATGGCCTGACAATGCAGCCAAATGACGAATGTCATGCAGGACTGATCTCACACCCGCCGGGAGGGATCCAAACACAGAAGAGACCTTTCTGAGATCATACACAGATGAAGTACAAGGTGGGAGATGAGGGGAAGGGAGGGTGCAGTAGTAGTAGTAATAGTAGTAGCAGTTGCAGTAGCAGTAGTAGAAGAAGAGGAAGAAGAAGAACAAGAAGTGCGATGTAGGGAGCTGGGCTCCCGATGTATCATTGTCAAGTCTCCTCTCTCTCTCTCTCTCTCTCTCTCTCTCTCTCTCTCTCTCTCTCTCTCTCTCTCTCTCTCTNTCTCTCTCTCTCTCTCTCTCTCTCTCTCTCTCTCTCTCTCTCTCTCTCTCTCTCTCTCTCTCTCTCTCTCTCTCTCTCTCTCTGTGAAGAAGAAGGAGAAGAGGCGGAGGATAAGGAGGAGAAACGTGGAAGTCTCTCTCTCACTCTCATATACTAACTGTGAATGGCTGCGCCTTGAGCCGCTGATGCACTGCAGATGTGTTGGAGAAGGCGGGCCGCTATGGGCGGTGGCAGACGTCCACGATATGCCACCAGGTGAGTGGACTCCTCCGCTGCGCCGCCATCCTCCCTAGCTCTGCACAGTGCTCCTTCACCTGTGCTATCCTACGCTGCACTCGCAGCCTGGTCGCACACAAATGAACTGAAGACTACCTTTCTACTACTGGCCAGCCTCTCCCACATGCTATTGGCGCCATCCAACCCGGCCTGTATCTGGGCCATCTAGTTGCCTCCGGCCCACCATCTGAGAGACCGTGTGACCAAACTCTGCTCCAGACCCAGGCCGTGTGACCAAACTCTGCCCCGCACATATCTCAGATATGTGCGGCCTGGGTTGCTACTTAAGTCGAGCGCCTCCCCTCATATCTCAGCAACAGGGCCGGGGTGAAAAAACGGGCCTGGCTTATAAAAGACATGCACTCCCAGGCACAAACAGACAAGCTGTGCCAAAACTTGAAACAGTATCTGCCAGAGATCCGAACAGGACAATTCCGTGCCTGTCCTCACGAATTCCTGACAAGTGCAAACCAGAGATGATTAAAATAAAAAAATAAAAAAAAATAAAGGAGAAGAAGCATGGCCCCTGCGCAAGGATGACACGCAGAAATCCAGAAATGGTTAATGAAAGAGAAGAAAAAAGGGAAAAGAGGGGGAAAGGGGGAAAAAACAAAAACAAAATCAAAAAGCAAACCAGACCAGGACAAACTGAGCTGGCACAAAAAGAAAACCGTACTGACAATTACAAGAAACACAGCAACGGAAAACAAAGCAAAGTGGGTGGGGGGGGGAGGGGAAGGAAAGGCGGCCTGTCTAGTCTCTAGACAAAGGGCCTCGCCACACCACTCGAGAAATGTGGAAAAGACAGAAATGTGGCGGGTGCATCTGGCCATGGTTTAGCAGGAAGTTCATTATCGTTTTGTACATTTCGAGGGTGGTGTGGCGATGCCCAAAATACAGACACGACTAGACTCAGAGAGTCAGAACAGACAAAATACACCACGCCTGTCTAGGAGGGACTCACCTAGGGGGCCTCATGATGGCTCAGGCCCAGACCCCCCCGGCCTGGTGTGCAAGCCCCCAGTACGCGGCACTGCTCTTCTTTTCTCCCTTTCTCTCCCTCTGCTATTTTTTTCCCCGCAAATGACCCACCACGATGGTGAATGTATTTAAGCTATCTTTCCGGTACAATGCAGTCATCGGGAGGCTGCATTGTGGTCAGGGGAGGACGGTAGTCTACAGACTCGTGTGTGGAGCCTTGTCAAATAGAAGAGTGCCAGTGCACTGTATGTGGACAGAATTGCAGACATTTCTGGCTCAATTTACATTCGAACCTCATACACAAACTGAGAACTTCATACTTCCGTCTTCACCCTAATAGAACACCCAGTCGTTATAGCCGTATTTGGTGCAATTTTCAGTCCAGATACAGCTATAATGAATGGCCGTTCCATTCGGGCGAAGACAGTAGTGGTTGCAGAGAACGTGCTTGCCTTGTGGCTCCCATTATACCTGTATCTGGACTGATAATTGCACCAAATACGGCTCCTTCAACCTGCCGATCATAAATCACAACGCCTACCACAAGGCAAAGTGCGATGGGACGAAAGTGAAGCCTTATTTGGTGCAATTTCCAGCCCAGATACAGACAGCTATAATGACCAGGCCTTCTATTCGGGCGAAGAAAGTACTGGTTGCAGAGAACATGCATGCCTTGTGGCTCCCACATCTTTCACTTTCGCTTCCTTTGGTTCACACTGTTTTTTTTTCCTTTTTTTCACGAGTGCAAAGCTGGTCCGAACAATGAAAGCACTTCAGTCCAGATACAGCTATAATGACCGGGTTCTTACGAGTGCAAACAAAGCTGGTCACACAGAACAAGGGCAATTGGATGAAGACTTGAAGTGCCTTTCATTGCCCTGCCTCCGCTCTACCAGAATTGGATTGGTTGAATGAGTGCACACTGCACACTGCACAGTGCACTGCTTGCTTTCATCGCCCTGCCGCAGCTCTCCCGGAACTTTTAAGGCTTTAACTTTTTGAACAAGCAAATCGGCTGAATTTTGTTCGAAAGGTTAAAGCCGTAAAAGTTAAAGCCTTAAAAGTTAAAGCCTTAAGAGTTCAACTGTTAAAGCCTTAAAAGTTAAAAGCCTTAAAAGTTAAAGCCTTAAGAGTTAAACTGTTAAAGCCTTAAAAGTTAAAAGTTAAAGCCTTAAGAGTTAAAGCCTTAAAGGTGAGAGGAGGACCTGGCAGTCATATGTGAACATATGAGAGAGAGAGAAAGTCTAATCAACGAGACAAGTGCACAACTAATCAAGTTTTTGAAATTGACTACCGAAGTCAGTTCTTCGAAATTACCTTGCGAAATTACCTTGTGAAATTTACCTTGCGAAATTTACCTTGTGAAATTTACCTTGCGAAATTACCTTGTGGAGTGTTACAACGACACGCATCTGGAGGTGGTAATTTTGAGCTAACCTCCCAAGCCTGTGCTATTGTACAGCTTGCCTGTTACTTCCCAAGGTGAATGGGACAAGGGAAGAGGCATGCCTGTCGAAGAACGAGCAGCTGGGAGCGGAAACCAAACTCACAACAGCTCCTTCGCATCATCCGTCGAATCGATCCGAGACGGTAAACGAAGTGGATTTGGCGTCCTCGAAGCGTGATTCAGTTGCCTTTTTTGCAGTCGGTCAAGGCCGCAATGAGGAAAATTGTGCCGGTCGCGGACTTCCTTCGGGAGCTGGCAGTGTGGTAGGCTGCAATGAGGAAAATTGTGCCGGCCGCAGACTTCATTCGGGAACTGGCAGTGTGGTAGTGCGGGTAGGGTATCGTGAAGGTGGGAGTGGATCGCACACAGCGGGCAATCCTTCTAGAGAGGGACCACCACCATTGTTGACAGCAAGTGGCACTAACTTGGGGGTGGAAGAAGCGGGAGCTGCAACAATAGATGAACAGGGTGAGGGTGAATCGGAAGTCACGCGAAGCAGGAGCACGAGTTACGTCGAAAGTCAAGTAACTGTTACAACAGCCGGTTTGGCAGTCACGGCAACCGAATGGAGGAGGAGGAGGAGGAATGTTAGGCCAACGGGGGGGGGTGGCATCGTAGAAAGTCCAGCAATAGCAGCAGCAGCTGATTTGGCGAAAAGGACAAGCGAACAGAGGGGCGTTAGACAGTGCGGTTTTGAGGTTCCACTGCGGCATCAAGATTCGCAAGCAAGCATGGAGAAAGGGGGCGCCGCTTTGGACAGGAGAAGCGTGAGAGGGGGTGGCCGGGCAGTGAAGAGGCAGATGAAAGGTGGTTTGCAGAGTAGTATCCGCAGCTTCTTCGTCGCGAAAGAAGAGAGTAAACATGAGAAGGAGATAAGAGGAGGGTCCAACCCCGATGGGCTGTTGGCATGGTCTCTTGCATCAGGAAGGCATGAAGAGGTTGTTACAGGACTGAGCGTCCACAAAGCCACTGTGAAGTCTCTTATGAAAAATAATCTCATTGTCGCGGTAGCCATGGACAGCAACACACAGGAAGGCGAGCAACTGTGCCCTGAATGCCACCGTTCTACTCATGACAAGGCACACAAAGGTGGTGGGAAGAGTACGGCTTGTGTGGAATGGCGAGATCTTGGGAAAGGCGGCATAGCTTTGTGTGGAACACACTGCTCAGTCGTCAACGAGAATGCCACGAAGACTTCTTCGGGATTGCCAGAATCGCCCACGTGTTCATCCTGCCAGATGGCAGAGGAAGAGAAAAGCGGAAGCACGGGTGTTTCTGCGATACGCTCTCGTGCCACCTCAACACCGCTGCAAACTGATTGCATCACCAATCGACACATTGATGATGTGCACAACACGAGTAACTGTGTAGTGGATGAGCAGGCGACTACAGCTTGTCGAGGACGTGAAATTGAAGAGAGAAATGCAATGACAAGGAATCAAGACGTGTCAGACGACGAACCTGCAGGTACATGTGTTAAGTACAACGAACCTGCAGGTACACGTGTAAAGTACGACGGACCTGCAGGTACACGTGTTAAGTACGATGAACCTGCAGGTACACATGTTAGGTACGATGAACCTGCAGGTACACGTGTTACGTACAATGGAATGCAGAAAGAGGATCGCGTTGCTTCTCTAAGCGAGTCAGCGTTATGTGTCCCCGTTCTGATGCATGAAGCTAGGCTCAATGAAGGGTGCGTTGGTGGTGGATCTGTGAAGGAAGGCCTAACCGACAGGCCAACCTCCATTTTGGGAAAGAGGTCAGTTACAGCTCATCTTGATGGCTGCGATGGCGATGAGGGTACGGGGAGCGGAAATGGGGTAGTCGAAGTTCCTGCGGATAGCGTGGACATCTGCTCAGTGCCGAGCAGTGGAAGTGACGGAACAGGAGAGCCGCCGGCAAGAAAGAAAGAAGGATTGGTGTTTGAAGCATCTGGGGCAGTCACTGAATGGCAGAAACTCAGATCCAGGATGCAGATGTCGGTCCCGCTCTGCAATGGACACAAAGAAGCGTGCGCATTTCGTGTCGTAAAGAAAGTGGGGCCAAACGTTGGGAGGGGATTCTACGTCTGCGCCCGGTCCATGGTACGACCACACTTCTTCCTACCATCTTTTTTTTTCATGTGCTGTTCCCCAATTCGACAAATGTGGCTTTGCCCTGCAAATGCAAAGGAAGATGGTGCTATCTAAAGCCATGGCCCAGTAGCTCAGTTGGTGGGAGATGAATTTAAAACAGTAGAACAGTAGAACGCACTTGTACTTCTTGAGTCTTCTTCTTCTTCTTCTTCTTCTTCTTCTTCTTCGTCGTCTTCTTCTTCTTCTTCTTCCTCTTCTTCTTCTTCTTCTTCTTCGTCTTCTTCTTCGTCTTCTTCTTCTTCTTCTTCTTCTTCTTCTTCTTCTTCTTCTTCTTCCTTTTTTTTTCCTTCTTTTCAGAATGGACTTTTACATTCATTGATGCAATTTGCTGGGGTATAAGTTTAGACATTATTGAATGATTATTCCAAAAATATCTTGGTTCTTGATGCGCTTGATGGTAACTCTGGATGGTAACTCTGGATGGTAACTTTTGATGTTTTCGTCAATCTCTGGACGAAAGCAAAATTGAAAACTCCAAAATTGATGTGGGGCGTTTGGAACTTCGGAGTTTTCAATTTTGTTTTCGTTCCCCGGCACCCTCTCTCTTACCCCACTGCTCATCCTGACAGTTTTTTTTTCTTTTTTCTTTTTTTGCTCTTGAATGAAAAACAGGTCCTAATGGATTGGCCTGGCTCCATTCTATTCCAGGGCTCCTTTTGTACTAGATACACAGCGGCCTATAATGACCGTACGATGTACGTTGTATTTGGGGGAAGAAGTTACCAGAACTCGATGCAGGCTCTCACCATAGGCTTACCTTCCCGACAGTGATTAGAGGCCAGGCAGTACAGATGGACGCAGAAATCTAGCCAGGCCCTATTATAGCTGACGACACGGTCAAATTTAGATACAAGCTTTCCCCTACACATGCAGAGGAGCTGACAGTGCAAGAAAGAAAAGGTGGGAGAGCATTTTGAAACAGGAGGAAAGCAGACAGGTGGGAGAGCATATTGGAAGGAAGCGTGCGAGTAACGATTTTTCTACTTATGACCTGTGTAGGGGAAAGCTTGTATCTAAATTTGACCGTGTCGTCAGCTATAATACGGCCTGGCTAGATTTCTGCGTCCACCTGTACTGCCTGGCCTCTAATCACTGTCGGGAAGGTAAGCCTATGGTGAGAGCCTGCATCGAGTTCCGGTAACTTCTTCCCCCAAATACAACGTACGTCGTACGGTCATTATAGGCCGCTGTGTATCTAGACTGAAAGATACCCCGAATACAGCGATAATGCCCGTGCATTGTATTCGGGGGAAGAAGGTAGTCTTTCGATTGAGGGGTCGTCTGGTCTGTAAGAATAAGGTGGTATCGCCTTCATCCCCCAAGGGAATATTGGAGGGGCTAATGAACGGGTCTCCTTGTCGCATGGATCTAGAGAGGGGTTAGCTTGAGCCCCTATAGACATCCCCCAAGACAACATACCGTCAACCGGCGGGGTCATCGAACAGTACTCCCACTCACGACCGCAAATTGGATCGTAAAGGTTACGACCTAAAACTTTCTAGACAGTGACCGTGTCATGACACAGTCCAGAATATAGCAGCCTGGAATAAACCTCTGGACTGGTCTAAGTGCGTCAATGACTGATTGATGTGGAAGGCTGAGCCTAGAAGTATGTTTAACC